TTACTACGGGTGACTCTATTGACACTAGAGGAAGGGTTTCCTTCCATATTTTCGCACTAGTTTTTCTTTAGTTTTTGGATTTTTGTAAATTCTTACTGCGGAATTTAATTTTTCTGACGGAATGCAGAAAGAGTTTTTTTTTTTTCCAACGAATATTTTGTAAACAAATATTTATTTTAAATATACTAATAATAAAAATAATAATAATAAAAATAATAATAATAAAAATAATAATAATAAAAATAATAATAAAAATAATGTTTTTGTTTTAAATAATAAATAATTATCGAATAACAGAACTTTCCACAACAACTTCTTCTCTTTCTCCTTCTCCTTTTCTTCCTTCCCCTTCTCTTCCTTCCCTTTCTTCTCTTTCTGTCTCTTGCCTCTTTTCTTCCCTTCTTCTTCTTCCTCCTCCTCCTCCGTTTCTACTTCAAATTCTTCTATCAAGAATTTAATTTTTTCTCCAGTATTTATTTTCTTTAGTGTTTTTTTCATATAACGACAAATATATTTGTCTTTAATCTGAATTGAATATATATTTGGGTTAAAAATATATTTAATAACAGATATTGTGAATACCAATTACTCCTCAGATGGACGTTTCGACCAATTTCTTTGAAGAACTTGAGAACTGAATTGGTCATCATTAAATTCTTAATATACTTTTCTTATTTTGTATGATTCTTTCCAGCTTTTTACGACATCTGCTGAAGATTTTGTAGTAATCTTCAGAAGACCTTTTTCTCCAAAAGTTATAAAAATGACCTTTCGAATCTTATCAGCAATTGCCCCTCTTTTGCTACAATATTTGAATTTTAACTAATTAAAATTTTAATATTTATTTTATATATTTAGTATATTTAGATATAATTAAAAGAAAAAATAAATTAATTTTATACCTTAGTAACAATTTTTGTATCATAATAAATGCCCAGCACCTTTGATCCCAATTTTCGAAATAATCCAGAAATTCAGCAAACGCAATATGACTCACTGCATCCTTTAATTTATTTTTATTCGGATATATTTTTTTGGTAATTGAGTAATTTGCGGATGTGTTTACTAATCTCAAAATGAAAAAATAGTTAAACTATTAGTTTAATACACTTTTAATTTAGAATAAATATAAAATATTTACAGTAATAAATTCATCTGTTGACATTGTTGCTAGTCAACCTTTTGGGCTAATTTTATTTTTCAAAAGGCAATTTACAACTAGCAACTCGTAAACAATTACTTTAGTTTACAAATTGAAGAAGATAATAGATGAAGAATAAAAGAAATATTAAAGTTGAATACTAAAACTAATTAAAGGACTTAAGATTTAGGATCACAGGATTTAAACTATTGACTAATGATTTAATTTTAAAGGTCGGGTTAAGAAATTAAGACAAAGAATTAAATATATTTATCAATGGTTTATAAAGTAATAACAGAAATTTATAGATCAGAATTTATATTCGAAAAATATAAATTAATAAAGGAACAGAGTTTTAGTATAAAAGATATAAGTTTATTACGAGGAAAATCAATAATCCAATTACTTTAGGATTATAAAAATTACAATTGAGAATACTTTCTAAATTTCACTATTTAAAATTATTCGAATTTTATTTGAAAAACTATCTGAATTTGTCTTGGGGTGGAGGGAAAATCCACTCTTTTTATAATATTAAATTTGACTAGTAAGTTGGTTAGTAAGTTGGCCAAAATCTTGATCAGTAATTGTGCCAATCAGTTGATCATTAAGTTAGTCAATCAGTTTGCCACTAAATTGGTCAGTAAATTGGCTAGTAACTAGGCCACTATGATCTACATTATTAATTTACATAATTCGTATTATACTACTAGATAAATAAATACTAATAACTAAATATACTAAATATACTAAAATAACTATACTAATAAAATAAATACAAATAAGAATAAAATAAAATAAAATAATAAGAAATTATGAAAGTGGAGGAAACCCATGGTAACATCAGTTATGTCTATATACAAATCAAAATAAATTAACAATATTAATCTTAGCAAAAACCGCATATTGCGATATTAAAAGGATAGTCATTGGTTTGCAAGCCCAAAAATTGATTTATTAAAATATGCCGTCACAATTAAAATATTTATACTGTGGTAATGACAAAAGATTGGTAAGATGGTATGAAGATAGCAGCACAGAAAACATGTGGTATGGAAATACAAATAATGGAAATGATGGAGTTGTACAATGATGGAAATGATGGGGTTGTACAATGATGGAAATGATGGAGAAGAATGAATGATGGGAATGATGGAGGAAAAAGAAATATAAAAGTAGCAGTAGCAAGAGGGAGAAAAGGGAGTTCATATTTTCGCGGCATTTTTTGAAATAGCAACATTTGATACTTTATCTCTTTGTTTTATTTTTTCCTTATTTTATTTTATTAAATAATTATAACAACGTTTATAATAATATTCATGTAAATAGTAGAAGTAGTAACAGAATAGAAACACGTCATTGTAATATTTTGTTGCCTAACTTCTAATAAAACTTTCTTTTGGTTGTCTAATTATAAATAAACATTTCATCACTTATAAATCTGTTCTAGCATCGATAATATACATAGGGAAAACTACCTCTACTTCACTTGCTCACGTACCTTTCAGATAATATCTACGATTTCGTAGTTGTCATTTAAAGTTGTCACACTGTATAGTGATACACGAAGAAGTGTAAGCTATTATTGTGACTGGGAACTTGATTTGTTATGTAATTCAGTTGTGTGCTGTTCAGACGTGACAATACCTTAATTGTGTGTTCAGAACTTTCGCAAAAAAATAAATTAGTGTTATTATTTCTGATTGCAGACCTAATTGAATCCAACATATATGAACATTAATCTGGACGAAAAACTTTTTTCATTCTATAATAAGGTATCCGCAAGTTTATACATAAAGTTTGTAATTGCATTACCAAATGATCTGTACAACTATCGTTCTGACATTTATTCGCGTAAACGCGTAAATGGTTGGTTAATATACACAAATGGGTTCATACAGAAAAAAAACCATCGAATCTTTAATTGTTAATTACTGGAACAGAAAGACAATTTCTAAAAACACAGGGTTGACACGAAGATAAATTTAACGCCAGATAATAAGCGGGATATTAATGGAATCTACCTTAATCTAATTTCAATTCTCAGTAAAGAAAGCTCAATCAGTCAAGCAGTAAGAAAAAAGACGGAAGCCGAAGAAAAGGACTTTGGGGTATGCACATATGTATAGTGAGGTGAATGAAAAATCTGAGACTATTATATACTTTGTTCTCTATTACAGAAATTAACCAAATCTCCCGAAATAATGAGATTCTGGGAAAGTAAAAAAGCAGAGTCTTATAGAAAGACTTTAGATGGACATACGCAAAAGGAAAAGACGTACTTAAGCTCCTTTCATCTCACGCAATTGCAGGAGGAAGATGCAGATGGAAATGCAGATAAAGAAGCAGATGAAAATGCTAATGTTGAGGATGAAATATCCGATATGAAAATGATAGTGATAACAATGACTCCACGAATAATCAAGCATTTACTCCAAAAGGCGACATCCCATTTGTTGAAAGGATGCCATATATCGAACCAAATGTTGAATTTTATCTAGTGGTACAGATGTGGGTCAAATTTTGTCTGAATACAGGCAAAAAATTCCAAAGTCACATAAGTGTATTGAGTAAGTTAGCTTTTTAATACCGACTGTGTTTAAAATGCAAATATTACATGACAATTACTTTTTCCTTATATAGTCCCGTCTACTGGGGAATCCTCGATTTGACAGGATCTCACCAAGAAACCAAGCGACTTTTTTCTACAGACGACTGGACCGAAATGGTGAAAAGTTTTATAGATGAAATATAATTCATTAAAGAAGATATACCTGACATTTTATATCTGTTTTTTGACGAAGTTGAACTGGTAATTAATGATGATAGATATATTCTTACATTTAGGATTTGCTCTCATTATTCATTCATTTCAGATAATAAACAATAATGAAAGGAGTGAAGATATTATCACAGAAATTGAAGGTATCTCCTCACAGAAAATAGAAATGAAGCATAATATCACTCTTAACCCCAAAGATGAATTTATTTTAATGAAAATCAAGAGAGCCACTCTTGTTTAGTAAATGAAATACTCTATAAATATGTCTCTGAAAAAATTTGTAATTCGAATTTCTTTAACTATTTTTTAATAATTTCATAGTGCAGAGAATTTGGCTTATGTTGATCTGCCAATATCTGAGGCTGCTTTCGATAATTTATTCATTAATATGCTTATAAGAAGATTTCTTGATAAAATGAATTGAAGATGGATACGTAAGTAATCATGTTTAATTTTGATATATCAAGAATTTATAACTAGTGTTTATTTATTTTATTAACGCACATACGTGTATTTCTTTAGAGGAGAAATTTGTTCTTGGGCTTCATCTCAACGACGTAATGAAGGTCGTTCAATAACTCTTCGTGCCCGAGTTGAACAAAAATGTGATTTCCGAGAAACATTAAAAAATAGTATAAACAAATTAGAAGCATTAATAGGCCTCCGAAGTGGCGGTCTTCCTGAAGCTCACCGAAAAAAAATTTTTTTAGATGCTCTCGACTTGTCAATTACGATGAGGCATACCCTCTATGCGTTTTTTAATTATAATTCAAATGCTCTCGATGAAGATTCACATAAGGTGTTTGTTCTTGAAGTCCAATCATGGGGTAAGTTTATAATTAACACAGACTGGTTTTCATTATAAATGCTTACAAATACTTTTATATTAAGGTTGGGAATATCAGATCGTTGCTATGGACTGCAAAGGAATCGATATGGAAAGTTATCTACAACTGTTTTGCCCAATTCTACAAAAACACTTGCATGTCTTGAAAAGTTCTTTATTGAAATGGAAAAAGTAAAGGTATTTTTTAAAATTTTTGACCTAATAAAAATTTAGAAAAAAAACGGGAATAATATTTTATGCAATTGTAAGTTACCTTTAGTTTTATATGCAAAAAAGCAAACAATATTGCCCTACTCCACGCTCGAGCATATCGAATAAAGCGGAAATCAAGTGAACAAGAAAAGGGCAAAGAAAACATTCACAGTCATGCGGAGGTTGGGGTTGTTTTGGCGAAATTACCAATACTCCTTTCAAAAGACGGGTTCGAGAATTTAAGCTTGATTGAGGTATCTTATCAGTTTCGTTCTCTTATGTAACTGCGTGATTGCCACATTGGACTATGAAACCTGTCTATTCATCAGGAAATTTTTAAAGGCGAAATATTTCGAAAATTTTTGCCTCGTTAAATTTTCGGAGTTATACGACACTTTCGTAAATTTTCGAAAAAATTTTCGAAAATTTTCGAACCGTAAATCTCTGGAATTTTTTGTTTCATTTATTTTCGAAAAT